GCAGTCTTTGTGATCCCGTGTCAGGCCTGTCCAGTTTTTAATACCATGGCTTCTGGGGTCATACAACGCCTTTCGAATCTCGCGCTGCGTCTACACAAGTTTCACAGCGCTCACACGACTTCAGGTCGGTTTGCGCTTTGGCCTGTACATAACATAGGTTGACGTGACACGTGGACGTGACACATGAATGCTGTATATACCAGCCGCATATTGCAGATCAGGCAACGAGTGCTCATGGGGACAGCTCCAAGGCCGTTCTCCACACAGTGAACTCAGTAAATCAGTAAACCAAGCCCAAGTCATCGGAATGTCCGTGAGTGGGCTGAGGCCTCCAGCGATGCCCCGGAGGGCAGGCCTTCCAAGTGTTCCAGGTTGTTCGTGGTAGGTAAACCAATGGTAAACCATGGTAATCCCCATGTCATCACCGGTCAGCAGGCCTCCAGACTGAGATCCTCCATGGGTGTGGTCCGGCCATCTGTGATCTGAACTGATTTGCGCAATCCGGCCACCAGATTTGGCGAGGTCCATGCAGCCACCAGACGGAAGCATGCGCGGAAGTTCTCAAAAGCTGACCGTGCACGCTAGTATTACGATTGGAGTCAAAGCCTCCGAACGTCTCTGGGTGTTTTGCTGAGCAGTGTTTGTGTCCAGTTTTTTGCCGATCGTCAAGTTGCTTGCTCATTTTGTGCTCCTGTCTGGGTGTAGAGTCGTTGCATGTCTTCGCCCAGCAGAGAACCCCCAGCTCCCTCAACAGGTGTGACTGTCCACTGCCCTCATGCTCGAACCTTCTGCGTTCTGCAGTCCCTTCTCACGGCAGCAGCTTCCGAACAGCGCCAAGATTGCATCGTAGGTGGTGGTGGAGGCTGGTGGTGGCACTCCACTACACTAAACAGTTTGCTCACCAAAACTCTTAAGTTCTGGTAGATGGCAGTACCCCGGACTGCAGGGTGGTTCACCTCAGCGAGCTTAAGCTGGGCGAACTCCCACATGGTTGTCTCTTTTGTGGGCTTTGGGGTTGGTTTTTTCAGTTGCCTCCAACCGTGGCCGGCGGTGCTTTTAGTCGAGGCACGTCACTTAGCGAAGCATGGTTGCAACGGAAGTGGACATTGGTATGGCTTGACCATAAACGTTCCGGCGGACATGCAAGCTCCAAAGTCCCTGCGTCTTCTTCTTTTTTCGTCTCGAGATTCCACGAAGGTGTGACGGAATCCAGCAGGCGGGATCTGTGCATTGAGCTTTCACTCAAAAGTTGTCTCCAAGCAGCCTTGACAAACGCAGTCGGCCGTGCACTGTGTAAATACACACATGAGATGTACAAGAAATGTACAGAATATGTACAGCAGATGTACCGGTGCGGAAGCGCACACACACACAGAGTCAGTCAACCACGTGGCTGAAATCCCAATCGCAAGAACTATCTTTGTGAGCCCCATTTGAAGAGCTCAAAAGATGCTTGGACCTAAGCAAAGGCTCGGTCTCACACGACGACATCTTTCCAGTCTGAGCCGTGAAGGGCAGGAGGTCCGCGGAGGTTCAAAGTCCGGTCGTTGGTATCTTGCCCGCATCCCAAGGCGCAACTCACAAATGTCACAAGTCCAACCTTCAGAAGGTTCCTCGGTTCCTCCTCGCCAGATTCAATAACCAATGCGCATGACTCATGCCAGGCTGAGGCTTCAAATCGAATTCCAAGCGCCAACATGGCACTTTGACAAAAAAGAATGCAGTCTGAATTCGCAGTATGCGGCAAGATGAGCGTGCAGCACGATCATCTTGCAACTCACTTAAGAGCAGAAAAACGCAGGCCTTCTGAACGAACAGAACACCCTACCACAGATACGCCAAGCTTGCGAACGAGCAGCATCCGGCGCAAACGCGCAGACTTGCGCGCCCACACGACGAAAATGCCAAGATGTGGCCCCTTTTTGAGAAATGGGCGGCCAGACGCAGATCACCGAAGCCCCATGGAGGAAGTTGTGTGTGTGGGTCAGAGTTGTAGAGCTCCGGGGCCAAGTTGACTGGTTGTCGCGGACCAGGATCTTGATACCTGCACTTTGAGGCCCCGCCTCTGCCCCGCCATTGATTGGAAGGTCCACATCTCGCCCTCACTCGCTCACTGTCTGTCTCTCTTGTGGGGGCCAGGACCAGGGGCAATCTCTCTCTTTCTCTTTCTCTCTCTCTTTCTCTCTCTCTCTCTCTCTCTCTCTCTCTCTCTCTCTCTCTCTCTGTATTTCTCTCAATCGCAGTTCATGCCTGCTGCTTATGGCTTATTGTCTGTGCGTAAGGAGCCCTAAAGACAACCACTGCCAAGACAACATTTCCTGCAGATGGCGACGACTGCCCTCCCTCACCAAGAGCAGGCAAACTAGCAAGCCGTGCTACATACTGCGTAGAGCAGGCTGGGTATACAGTGTCTTTTGGTAGCTATCTATCTGCTCATCCTACTCGCACAATGACTAAGCACTCTCCGAAGGGTCTGCCTAGCAAGCTGGCACACCATGCTACAACGGTCGACATCTGATCACATCCAGGGAAGCTGCCTGGCGCATCCATCACAGCTGAATCTTGGAGCAACCCGGAGATCTTGAGCCAAGATGTACAACTTCAAGCCATGACGAGAGCGAATGCAGAAGCGTGGAAAGCTGCCTGCTTTCTGGCAGGCGGGATTCTCTAAAAGCGGCACTTAGTATGAACAAGTGAGCTTCATGGTTAAGAATCTGCACCTAAACTTGTGCCGCAACTCGAACTGTCGCATGCCTTTACCTTCAGCGCGTCTTACCCTTGCTTGTAGAGAAGCCAGCATGCAAAGGCCACATGCTCCTTGCATTACATGTACGAAAGAACTAAGAACATGTGCAACTGTCCCGGACCTACACAGACCCTCGTGCCATATCCACGGGTCGAAGTATCCTGCGCCGTTACATCATGTTTCGCGCTACTCTTTCTTGCCAGAAGACATGAAGAGACAGATTGCCAGTACGCCTACAGAGACCCGGCAGAACCGAGCCCCCGGTCATGATCGCACTGAAAGAAAGATCTTATTGTTTCCAGAATCTGGGATTTCGGGAGGCGAAATGGGGCATTCAGATCATTTGGGGCTGCCTCTTGAAACAATAATGACTGACTGCCCTTGGTCCTAACAGGCTACAACACAGAGGCTCCGTGCGATGAAGAAAGAAACCAGGAACAAGCTCTCCAACATGTCCTCAGAAGCCCAGAACTTTAGGGCTCGGGCTGCAAAGACGGCAGGGTTTAGGGACGTGCAGTTGGTTGAGAATGTGAGACTCAGCATCTCAATTTACGGAGCCCTTACGGCGGTTCAGAAGGCTTCTGCATCATGCTTGTCGGTTCATACCATGGGCCGAGTGTCAGGAAAGCCTAGTCACATCTAATCACAGACAGCACCCTCGGAGCCTTAAACCTACAAGGCACTCTCCAGCCGAAGTCTTCAACCGAATGACCATCACGCCGACCAACCCACACACCCAGGCCTTGCCAGTCCCCGACCCCCAGCGAGCTCCTCCGGCGAACAGGAAGAACGTCGCCTCAGTGCAGGATGAAGACAGGCCACCATGCTTTGAAAATCGAAAATACGTTTGGACCATACGTGCTTTCTTGGCTGCCACGTGCGGTGATGCCAGGATATGCCGGGGTTCCAGCAAATTCCTTCTGCCTCGAAGCCGTGATCAACCTTCGTGCAGCATTTGAGTCTTGAGACTTGAAGCCGTTAGGCTTCTGCATGGCTTGCATTATCTAATCTTGACTCCGAAAGTTGTTCAACAACCATGTCCGGCTTTGTGTTACTGTGATGCTAGGAGCCAGCACCGGCCTCGAACCCACTCGGTAGCACACCTGTCCACGAAACATGCGGCACACCCTGCTTCATTCAGCATCGGAAATCTAGCGCCTGATTCCTCCGGCTGTTCTTGCAGCCTTGACAGATTCCTCCAATCCCGCGCCTCCGCAGTGCACCGCTCCACGCCTAAGCGGGAACTACGACTTGGTGGACACCTAGGGGTTGGATGTCGGGGGGATGCTTGGTATTTTGGGGCCCAGGGTGCAATTAAGATGCCTCAAGATTTTCTGATATTTTCTGCCCAGCCCTTCATGGCAAGCGGAAGGCGCGGCAAGCACTCTGAGTTCAGCGCCGCTTGGTGATCGGCTTCAGCTGTTTCATGGCTGCCCCGCAGAAGGAGGGACTACGTGGCTGAGGGGATGGTTGGGGATTCTGGCAGGCATAGAACCGGGCAGAGAACCTCGCAGTGCACAGCAAGGTGGTAACCTGAGCTAGCTTGACGCAAAACAGCTGCTTGAACGGTCTCCACATGTCAACCTGAATGTGATTGGATGCAAGTCTCTTCAAACTCTAAGCTTAAGCCCTAAGACTTAAAGATCTTGAAAGCCTCATGGCAAAATCTCTTTCTGCTGGTTCCAAATAAAAAAAAAAAAACTACGCTCAGTGACAAAAAATAACGGTACGACTAGGGATAGGGCCTATGCCAAGCATGGCGCAAACGATCGGCGCATCATTCGGTAGCGCTTGGTGTGGGGCTCTAGGCTTTCAAGTAGCATTGAACCACCGGAGCTGTTGGTGGCCACCAGATGTCACACTGGCAAAGTTTGGAGACCCCTAGATTGGTCCGGAGCCAGTTTGCAAAAATGTGCTGAGAGCAGTCAAACAAGCATCTCATCGACTGTCACTCACTTTTCACTCCATGCATGGGCAAGGGAGTGCCTCCGTACTTCCTTCACCCGAAGCCTGTACATTCTGTAGTCCCCTACGTGCCATCGCAAGTCAAGGAGCTTTGGGAGGCTAATCCTCGCAGCAAGGAAGCTCGAACCTCACGGGGATCGACGCTTCTTGGTCGAATCGGGCGCGAGGTCGAAGACATGCAAAACCACGGGCTTGCGAAGCCCTCCCATCCCGCCGGACTGACCAATGGGATGGGATAGGAAGATATACGAAGATCAAGCAGAAGAGGTCGTCTTCCAGCATTTCTTGCTCAGTTGGCCAAGACGAAAAGGGAGCCTTCGTGCTCCATCTGGCGGATGCAATCCAGATCACTGGCCAGCACATCCGGATCGGAGTGCACCAAGACACACATCCCTATGAGGCCAAAAAGATCGATGGTCTTCTCCACACGATGGCCTGCATGAAGATTCTCCTCCAGGAACACCACGGACTTGAGCTCTCGAACCTTCTGGAACTGCGTGGCTTCTACCTGCCCCTCATGGTACGAGACCAGCATGGACACCTGCCCAGATGCCAAAAATGGAGGTGGCACATCGGGAAGGCTGTCAAAGGCCTCAGCATTCAGGAAGGCATCCACGCACGCATCGACCTGGGTGTACCCCGTCATGGCTCGTGCCAAGGGCATCCAGGAGCCCGCAGCCCCATGGCAACGGCTGTTAACTTCCACCAGGCAGGGTCCTGTCTCAGTCATCATCACCTCCGTGTGGGTGGCACCATCGGAGATGCGCAATGCATCCAGGCACCCCCGGGTGTAGGCAATGAGTTCCTGGGCAACGGGGCCGTCAGGCAACACGCACTGCTGGCCGAAGCATACGAAGCCAGCGCCATTGGCAGGGCGGCGGTCGTAGACCCAGACCATGGTGGTTTTGTGCACACCGTCACGGGATACGTGATCAACGATGTACTCCGTGCCTTTGAGGTACTCCTGCAGCAACACGGCTGCCCCCTGGGCGCCGCACTTGCGCTGAGAGGACATCAGCAGCTGGAAGTGCTCCTCCACTTCCGCCAGGCTGTGGCAAAGTTTCACCCCATCAGAGCCCGCAGACTCCACAGGCTTAACTGCTTAACAATCATCGGCAGCACCTCGGTCTCAGCGAAGTCCTTAACCTCGTTCCAAGCCCTGCCACACAGCGCACAGCACGCAAGCCGAAGGCCTTGACGGCATCCTGCTGCACCTGTCGCGGCGGTTGGCCATGCCTTTCGTGGTGTTGCCCCGGAGACCCATGTGCTCTGACAGTGCATCTGCCAACTTCACGCCCGTTTCTCCGCCACAGATCAACGCCAGCGGTTCGCTGCAGTTCGCCGCCTTGCGCACCGCATCGGCGGTGAGGGCCAAGGTGTCCTGCTCATCCACTTCTGCCAGGAACTTTTCTGGAAAGCCCTTGGCTGCCTTGGGCAGGTGGTCGCGGTTCTCACCACATTCCTTTGTCCAGAGGGCAATCACTGCGTAACCTCGCAGGTCAAGCTCAGGAGCCAACATAGCTCCAGTGGAGTAAGGGTCGACCAGGACTACGCAGCGAGGCGCCACGGACTCCATCGTGCTACCCCGGCACATGGCTGCAAGAACGAAGAACGTCGAAGACAAAATGCGTGGCAAACCTCTCTTGAGCAAGTTTCTCAGAATGAGCGAGCATGTGGCAACAGCCGTCCTCAACCATTGAAGTACGAGATGCAATCGGCTAAGCCCGCAAACGCCTCATCCCTACACATGTGCCTGCCAGCACCACGAGTTTGCTTCCTGGGTTGAGCACTTCGGACTCAGGACGGCTAAGGGACTCTACGTTCCTCCTTTCCGCCTTTCGGCCCTACAAGATCAAAAGATTTTTGGCCTTCTGGCAATGACAAGTCTCAGCTCCCTCGCCTGCCCAAAAGAGAGCCAGAAGATCTTTGTTTTTGAAGGACATGTAACGGACATAAAGGTGCCCAGTTTCATGCTGCCCTTGCTAGGAGCACATCGCCGTCGAAACCTAAACACAAAGCTGAATGAGGGTTTGGAGCTGAGGGTTTACAGTTTTGGACCCGGAACCCTTACGGCCTCCTCCAACTGACCTACACTGCGCAAATAACCTACTTCGTGGGCCTGGGGTACTCGGGGAGCTTGCCTTCCGTCCAAGGCCGTAGCAACAGGACATCTGCGACCTGTGCGAAGTGTTGTGTGTTCTGAAGTTTCGCCTGGGAGCAAGACTCCTACGGACCTCACCCTTGAAGACCACAGAAGCCGAGCCCACGATCTCCCGTACATGGCACGTGCACCTGACACGCACCAGAGTTTCAGGATTCTTGATGTTCAGGGTCACTTGGCCCGAAATCTGGATCGCACGCGTTAAGTTCCTGTGACTCCCTAACCAGGATGCCATACACGTGGCTATGCCTCAACGCCTGGAGCCCATGCCTCCCTTGCACACTAGCTCCGACTGTCACATGGTGTGAAGTTCTTGAAGTTCTTGCTGTGCCGTAGCAAGCTGGCAACTCGACCTTGGAGAGCTCGAGCAGGTAAGTGGGATGCCATGGATGTGGCGCGGAGCAGACTTTTGCTGACGAACCCCAAACCTGAGCATTCCCAATTCTTCCACCCGTCTCTCATTTTGGCAACGCGGGGTCTGGGTCTTGTGAAATGACATATCACACCGCATCCTGATGCCACTTATAAGTCGGGAGCGTCGGCACACTCCGGTGCTGACACTCCGCAAGAGCTGTGCAATCCGCTCGCTGCCCCATGCTGTTCCGTTAACACAACGTGACGTAGCTGCAGATGAAAAAGATGCATCGGGCAGAACGCTGCAAACTTTGCTTACAGGAAGATTCAAGCTCTAAAGTCTCAAAGTGTGGCTCCAGGTGCTCTCGACCACAGAGCGAGCTTCCGCGCAAGGCCGCAAGGCCACCCGACCGATCCAGGAGGTTTCTGAAGGCGCTGTGAAACTCAAGGCAGCCTGTCGACTCGAGCGCCAACTTGACGCCGATCTCGGAGCTACCTTGCGCCCTTCAAGCCTTCAGCCTCAAGATCTCAAGGGGCAGACTCTCAATCCAGACAACTCGAATGACATACATGAATGACTTGTCTCATCTGTGCAAGCGGCCAACCTGTACGGGCCGTCGAATTCAGAATTATGCACAAACCTACAGCAGATCTACTCGTCGACTCACCGGCTTTTTAGGTCGGTCCTGATGGCACTGCAAGGGACAGATACCTCAAGCACCTCTGAGCACGTGTACCTGACTGCACCAGGAATGCTCAGTTCCCAGCTTTAGCCCCCTGCCGTGCCGAGCTTTCTTTTGGCGTCCACTTTGATCCACCCTAAGGAGCTGGAGGTTGGCCCGGCTATGCTCGATGGCACATCCTGGCAAAGCCCCAAAAGGAACAAGGCAGAACGTGGGAGGACATTGTATGTCCAATGATGTCCAATGCAAACACGACCAAGCAATACCAAACACACTCAGCTCCTCCGTTTTCCAAGTGAACACGCTCATGGCGCAGGCCCCAGCAGCAGCATTGCTGGCATTGTCCTGCCAGCCTGCTGTAGCAGCCTCATCTTGTTCATGCTCCTGTGATGCTCGTGCCAGCTGGCCCGCGTCGTTTGGAGAGAGCGCTGTGAACTTGAGCAGCTCCTCAACGTCTCCCGGACTGGAAGCCAATCGCAACCTCAGCAAGATCTTGCGATCTTCACCAACATCCTCCACCAGATCCCGCACCGTGATCTCCCGCAGCTCCTGCATGCTGGAGTCCCAGGTCTCCGCTGCTTTGAGCCCCGTCACCTCCGCAATGGGCCCACAGTCCAGGACCCACCGTGCTGCCCGCACTAAGGCATCGACGGTGTCCTGACCAGGGAGGCAAAAGGAAATCAGCTCTTAAAGAGACATGCTCGACATACTCTACAGCAGCTGGCTTGCGGTAAGGATGCGTCCTGCCCCGAGAACACCAAGTGCTTGTGATGATCGTGATCGTCCTCTGGACTCGAAGTTCCAACATGGAGCTTCAGGTATACTGGGTCGATGCAGGGTGCCAGCCGCAAATTGCATCCCACTTGAGGCATGTCTGTGCTGTACTGGATGATATCGACCGCATCCTCTAGCAACTCCTCAGGATCTAAGACTGGACCGTCAGCTTCACACAGAAGCCCGGCTGCAAAGACCCTCTGAAGGACCATCAGCTGCTTTCGCAAGCCGGACATGGAACTATGCGGCACCACCCAAAAGCATCCTTGCTCTTGCAGGTCAGTAGATGCCAAGTCCGCAGAACCAGTGTCCTCGAGCTTCAGAACACTCAAGGAGGTCCGAGCCGCAAGCTTCAACTTCAAAGCCTCCGTCATAGTGTCCTCCACAAGAACAGGTTCGGCAGATAGTAGATCTAGAATGGGAGTATCAGATGCTGCGGCTTCATGAGCATGCTGGCAGCAAGAGATTCCCGCATCCCAGAGAAGCACGAGGGAAGTGCCGACCATACCGGAACTGGCCAAAGCAGCAAGCACATGTCTGTGCTGCTCGAGTGCCGGGTTCTGTGGCAGTTTGCCTTGCATGTAGGCATCCAATGCTGCCCTTACATTCCCCAAGTTGGCTTGAACTGCCATGGGGAACGTGAGGACGTCGGTACTCGCAATCGTTGGCACATCCACCGTGACTTGGACGTCTTGTGCTTTGGTGATATGCAGATCCCCAATGCGATCGGCATATGCATGCAAAGGAGCGTCCTTTGCCAGGATGGCAAGGCCTGCATCTGCCAGATCATATTCCTCTGCATCTGCTCCGATCTTCTCAAGAACGTGTAATCCGGTCCAGTCCTGTTCAACCAGCACCGTTTCGAGGCAAGACCCGTCAAAGCTGTGAACCATGGACTGCACCAGCACCTGTACGGGCGGCTGAGAGGTCGTTGATGACACATGCCATGAAAGAACCCTGGGTTACTCTGCTATCTGCCATGTTGTAACTACGCGTGTGCCTCGATGGAAATTGCAGAGACCCCGTCCGAAGGCTCACCATGGTGCAGTGCATCCCAGGTCTCAAGCTTCTGGGCGCCTGTGGCGGTGCGCAGGACCAGCGCCAATTGCTCAGGCTTGGGCAACTTCACGCACGAGGGTGCACAAAGCACCAGTTGCGACAGCACTTCTTGGATCCTCCGGCTGCGCAAGGCCCAAATCGGCACCGAATCGTTACTGTACAGCGTCAGCGACAGTGGGCAGATTTCCCTCCGACGCTTGAGGCTGCAGTTGGCAGCATCTGCCTCTGGAAGAGGCACGGTGCCAGACCACAAACCTGAAGGACTCCACAGCACCAGCTCCTCTTCGGCGTCATGGCGCGAAGCGGCCTGCACAATCCTCAGCGCAGTACGGGCGAGCACTGCTGTCACCGTGACATACTGCTACGACCTTATGCCGGTGCTTCATGGAAACCGGTGGAATGCCGAGGATCTCAGAGGGACTGGCACTATGAGCTAGATGACAGCTCCGACGCCATTGCCGGAGGTGCCAACACTTCGGATGACCTTTCAGCGCTACATTACGAGCACCTCGAACTACGAACTTCACCATTCTTGCCAAGTAACTTGAGGCATGGAAACGCAGGCCGTCACCATTCTCTGTCATGAAGTCACCAAGCCGCAGGGTGGGATTTGCCAACTGCATGGTCCTCAGGTTGAGATGAGTCAAGTACCTTATACAAGTATTTGAAGCACAGCTTGGAAGGATGTCGGAGAACATGTTCACTCCAAGGCTCTCATCGGCAAGCACGAATGGAGGATCCAGCACGCCATCTCGCTGCAGCAGAGCTGCAAGTTGCTTCACCGTAGCTTCGGTGTACATCCGCTGTACCCAAGGTCTCCGTGACGGGACGGTGACAGTGACCGACACTACCTGCCCAAGCTCAAGTTCAAGCAGCTTCTTGTACTCAACATGGCTGACTAATGTCAAACCAGCATCTGGAGCGCCTGGGACAATGGAACTATCCACAGGGCTTCATGTTGAGGGCCACTATCTGGCTGAACCTCCCCATCAAGAGAAACGAGACAATATGAGGAGGAGTCACCTCAGGACACTCTCAGCAACGTCACTTCAATTTCCTATTGCAAACGACAAACAAGCCAGAAGAGGTAAGGTAATCTAGACAAGCATCCCAACATAAAGTGCTTGCAGGAGATCGGCAGGACTCGCAAAGGTTTAAGCTTGAAGGACCCTGGCTCACACGCACCATAGCCTAAGCTGCGAGCGTGTGAAACTTGTGCGGCTAAACCAGTACTCAATCGATTACAGAGACGAGCGACAAAGGATACATTGCACACCACGGTTCCAATCTTTACGTTAACGAACCCAACATTAACTGGTGACTCTCATCAGCTCATGGACACACTTTCCACATCATGCGCTTCGCATCCTCAGGACCACCTGCTTCACGGACTGCTGCCCAGCTGAGTGCACCAAGAAGTAAATGAGCGGGAGCAGATGTCCAGCTCAAAGCGAGCTGCAACTTCTTTCGGAGCCAGCATCTCACGAAGAGCTTCAACAGCCTCGCTCCGCATTCCCGTGCGCGCGAAAAGAATGCAACACAGTTGGCTCTTAACACTCTCAACAGAGCCTCAGTCGTGCGAGGCCAGCTGCGCATCGACGTCTGGCGAGCATGCGCCTGAAGGCACAGTGAGAGTTGCCTATCACCCTCAACAGCCTGATGCTTGTTAGTTGGATTTCTGAAGAACCAGACTGCGGACAAAAAAAACCTTCAGCCACCCCAACGTTCGAAGCAGCATGTGCAGCTCATTGAAAAGGAGTTGCCTGCCTCCACGCACGTTGCAAAACAATGGCGCCGGACTGGCCCAAGTCCACCTCTGCAGGAACTCACAGCATACACAACATCATGACAAACTTCCAAACTTTGCAACTTGCCGTTCCTTACGCACCGTGTCCCGAATTCAGGGCTTCTGCTGCTTGGTGATTCTTGCGATCTGCAACATGGAGCCTGCTCGTGGCCGATCCTGCTGAAATGCCCTATCTACGCTCTGGTCTCGAATCTCTGCCGTTTGGACATGTGACTCTGGGCTTGCCTCGCACAGTTTGTCGGGAATGGCATGCCGGAAGGAAGCCGAGACGTGGGCGTGACAAGCCTGATCATGGGTCGACACGACAAACGCACACCTGCTCGCCCTGGGAGGAGAGTGCTGGGCTCTTGAGCGCCTGCATTCGCCGATGCTTCCGCCAAGCGCTTTGAAGCTTGCCGGCGGCTGCTGCTGCAATTCGCCAAGTGTTGTATGCACACGTCACAGCACCTGATTTCTGCAGGAGTGGGTTGGCGGGCATGCATCTTGGCTCAGGGACGGTCTGTGCTGTGTTGTGATACTTGGCTGCTTCGGAAGTCAGCTCGAATGCAAAACACCTCGATTGATGAGAGTACGTAGAGAGAGCATGGAGGACAGTTAGCGGACTAGGCAACATTTGCAAAAGTCTCGAGTTTTGAAGCTGGACTGAGAGTTCTGATTCGAGCTTCAGACACGTGGACTTCGCCAAGACAACACAACAAATGAAATCAAGTCGTAGACGTCTCGCGTTCTTGAGACAGCAGTGCATCTCACAGGACCAGTACTTGACTGTGGCTGCTGACAGCAGGCCGCTTCAGCTTAGACACATTGTTGATGCCGCTGCTGCTGCAAGCGCAGCAGCCAGGCCCGCACGCTGCGGCCAATTATTGCTGCTGCTGTGTCCTTTAGCTCCAACGCCTCGTCATCCTTTGCGCAATTTGACAAGATTCTGAGGCGCAAAACGTCTTGAATAGAGTCATTTGCATCAATGCAGAGCAGTCCTCGTCGCCCCAAGTGAAGATATTGTTCTGACACGTGTGACCATTTGAGCTCGTCGTCTGGCCCTCTGTGCAAGTGGCCATGGCCGGGTTGTGTCGTTCCTCCTGTGTTGACGGCACGTCCCCATCCAACATATCTACCTCCTGGCTCTGGGAATCGTCATCACGGTCCACACCCTTTGCAAAGGCGTTTGCGGGCTCGATGGGGCCTCATCGCATCTAAACAGTGTCTCAGGACAATACTCCACAGGGTGCACGCATGCTGCCAAGGCACCCTCCCACCAGACCTCAGCACTGGGCTCGCCAGCAGGTTGGGCCGCCAACCGTTCGCGAGCCTCCCACAGCCGTAGGCACAGCGCCCGGTAGTGGTAACCTCCAGGGGAATTCCAGAGTCTAGCGGCTCATCATTGTTTTTGCCCTTGACACTCTGCTCAACTCTGGTCCGGCCTTTCAGATTGCTTGGAAGGCTCGTCAAGAAGCAAACTTCACACCCGGCCCAATCTGCAACCTGGCGCATCGAACGATCCTTGAAGTCCAGAAACCTGTTCAACAGACTGCGAAGCGCTGACAATGCTAAGTCGATCTCTTCCGTCTTTGGACAGTGTTGTTGGATCGCTTGATCCAGCTCTTCGGACGTCTCATGATCGATGCTGCAGCGCCGCAGAGCATCTGGCACCTGCACAAAAGTGAAATCGCGGATGTCGAGCTTGGAGCGAAGCGCCCTCCAAATCACAGCAACATGCCTCATCTTCCATGCATGCTTGGACACACTCATGGTGTGAGTGCTGGAGGAACTTGCCGGAGCACCACTGGACACACAAACCGGTTCAACCAAGGCCTCTGTAAGCGCATGAGGCAACTGCAAGCCAAGAGAGCCGAGGCCTGTCAGGATGTCCTCAGCCCCTGTCAAGTCGGACTCGCTGAGGATCTCCGCGGCATAGGAGAACTCTTGCTCGCCGGCCAAGAGATCCGCATGCCGCAGTGTTCGTAGGCTTGCATTCAAGTACGACAACGCCTGGCTATCGGAAGGCGGTTCCTGGAATTTCGGCGGCAACATCTCCATGGCGTCTCTGCCCTGCGTCAAGGAAGAATCATGAGCTTGGACTGCCAGCCGCACACATCCACGAACACCGTCCAGGGTGAAGCTGCTTTTGCCATTCCAAGTGGCAAGCAAAATGTGGCGGGCTAACAGTTCAAAATCGAAGGAGGCTTTCTCCTCATTCACAGGGTCCAGGCAGCTGGCAACAGCAAAGTCGGCAAAATTCTCGATGCAAAAGGAGCATTCTTGATCCAGCTTGGCGGTGTTCAGGATTGCAGTCAGTGCTGCCGTTCCCCGTAGCCCAAGAGCTTGTTGCAAAGCTGGACAAGCCTGCATGTCTTGGCAGATGCACTCCAAACTATCCAGGTAGGTCTCCCTCACCTTAAGGACGTAGTCCAAAATTCGAAAAAGGAAATCATGGTCATCGTGAGTGCCATGAAGGGAAAGGACGTCGAGGAGCGGAGTGTCAAGATCCAGTGCAGGCATGCCTAAGCAAGAACACCAAGCACGAAACTGTGCAAGTATGGTGGCTGTAGATAGGCGGGCAAGGTTGCAAACAAGCCACGAACATGCTCTTCGCAGCCGCCAACAGGCAACAGCCCATGTGTTGCTTTGTGAAACTTTTCGCAGGATTCCAGAGCCTCGCGGCAAAGACGCTCGCCATGGGACTGGCCCGACGCCCGGCGGCGGCAGCACTCCTTCCAGCACTCTGAGTGTCTCCCGTTGAATTTGCTATGTCTTGTTGCTCATGCTCCGAAAAGCTCCGCATTGCTCGGCGATCTGAAAAACCCTACACAAGTACCTAAAGACCTAAATTTGATAGAGGCAGGTTTGGGCGACGTCACCGACACCAGAGATATGCACAAGGTGTGGTGAGCACAATGTGCCTACACCTACACTCGTGCCCACTCTCCCTGGACAAATATGTCAATACCATTCAATATCACATCAACATGCTGAACAGTGTTTCCCGGTGTTGCTCCTGCACCGCTCGGCCAATGCTCACGTTTGCAACATCCTCAAGGGACCAACCCTTGCCACTGATGAATTCTGCAAAGTCGTTGTGGAGCCACGCGTAAAAGCGCAGAATGGACGGTGCGAGGCTTACCAGACCCAGGTCCTGACATGCCAGGGGCCAGGGGGGAGCTCTTTTGGGTAGGAAAAAACACACACAGCGCATCTGCAGGCAGGAAGCTTGGCTAGCAGAGGTGTACCGAAGCACCACACGTGCTGAAGCATCACTCACTGCTTCCGAAAGTGCCATTTGGAAGTCGGCAAAGGTTGCCCTGCAGGGCACGGACTGCACGATCTTCGAGATATTGCCTTGCTGGAAGCTATCCATGATTTCAGGCAGTGATCGTCTCTCTTCGTTGAAGATGTGGCAGAAGGCAGTCTCGGCCGCAATCTGCGATTGAGCATCTCTGTAGATGCACTTGAAAGCACATTCCTGCAGATCTCGACATTGAGCGGCAACACGCTCGTGCATCCGGTTCATCAAAACCTGAGCCGGGCTCACAATAACGCCTTAAACATGGCTGCATTCTGCGAGTCATGGCAAAATCTTGCCACGCCTGCAGTTGCTCGGCACCGAGTTGAAGATGGTTTCGCAGGAAGGCCCAGGCTGTAGCTACTCGCTGATAGCAGAAATTTGCGGTTCGATCAGCCCTCTCGTCCCCATGGGCATTCAGGTAAGTCCTCGGCATCACACACATGGCTAAACGCACAGTGAGACACTGGACAGCAGCAGTGTGTGTACTACAGGGTGCCGCGTCAGCAGGCAGGTGTGTGCGATACCTCCTTGTAGAACCCACAGGCTTCGTCGACGCACTAAGTCAGGTCCTAGTGTCTGGTTCTGGGAGTGGATGGCATGGGTCGCAAGCACTTTGTCAAAAAGGTTCTCGTCGGCTGATGCAGAGAACACGAAGTGCATGCACAAGGAACCCCAACTCTGGAAGTAGCTGGTGACTGCTGCTGGAGCAGGCCAATGGTCGTTGGAGTTGGAAGATCCGAGTCGCAAAGTGCCATCATATTGAAACTCGCAGCCACAGTCGTAGTGCACGCTGCCAATGGCAGTTTTGAAAGTACTCCCGAAGCCGAAAGTGCCGCGCAATTTGTTAGGCTCCATCATGTGCACCCAGCAGTGGTGCCTTCTTGGTTCTGCCAGCGACACGCAGCATGCTACACCATTCACCAGACAATGCCGCATCTGCAGCTGAAGCGGCTCCACACAATTCAGCTGGAACCTGACTTCTGAAGTGATCTCGGGGCATGCGCACGCAGCATTTGCGCAGCTACGCTCGAGCAGCTCTACATCATTCTACATCTATCAAATCTGGATCACGTGTCATCCGAGCTCAATGACTTGAAACAAGCTCTACTGAAAAAACATCAGGGCGAGGACTCAGGTGCAGTCAAGGCACATCTGGGCTATGGAGTTTGTCGAATTGTACCGTGGCTGGAAGCGAGCTGGATGGATCAAGCATTCCAGAATGCTGCGCTCTGCCGCTGACATATCCACGCTCTGGGCAAGCTCTTGCATCCAACCAAGCATCGGCCTGACCCTGGGATTGGCTTCGTCAGAATAGAAACCTTAGTCGTGACTGATTAGTCTCTCGCAGAGCCTGAGTACATCCTGCCGGGCCTCAGGCCGGGCGCAATGCTGCTGCAATATGGAACCCCCCGACCCCCCATCTCTTCCCACCCGGAATTCTGCTTGTGAACCTCAAAGCTTTGAGAGACTGGGGTCCACTGAGATGCCAGGGTCCCACAAGCTCATTCTCCCAGGGCAGCTCCCGGCGAAGGACCAGCGAACGCAAAACATTTCAAAACCGGCATGACTGCCTGAACTACAGCCTAGAAGTACTGCGAGCTTGCAAAGACTTGAATACCTCTGAAACTTCCTGGAACTCACTGGGACGAAAGTCAGTTGTGCTGGCAGACTGGAAACACGGGCAGGACTTGATTACCTTAACTTGGGTCACACGCACGGACAGCCTCTTCAGGCATAATCAACTGGCTCATTGTTGTCCAGGCACGGTTGCTGGTTTCCAGGACTTTGAGCCACTAACAATTACAATAGCACGTGGTAAACACATGTGTTTCGTAAACTTTCGCTGGGCGACCATGGTAAATCACCAGAATCAACCTCAGGTCGCCGAGTGAGACATGGTGGACCTATGCTCTTGTCGTCTGCTTAAGCATGAATGAAACCGAGCTGCAAGGCTTTGACATACTCGGGGCCATGTTCTTCTCGAAGCTGCTCACAGAACTTGATCAACAAGGTGCTGCACGATGCTTCCAGAGCGTCGTCCGTCTTCTTGGACAGGGTAGTGAAGTCTGACTCCTGGGCGTTGTTCCGATGCTTGGCAGGCCTCCTAGCCTGACTCCTAATGGTAAACGATGAGTGGCTCTGAATCGAAAATCCAGTCTTGCAGCTTCGGGACAGCGGTGCTCCACTCCTCAGCCGACATGAACAAGAACGTAGGCATCGCCAGCCGACGGGATGCAGAGGTGCCTCAGACTTTGGCATGTGATCACGGGAAGGCGGTAGGCAGGTTTTGAACCCTAAATTCATAACAACTCGTCAAACTCTTCAATAGTTACAAGGAGCTCGAAAGGCCGTCACTGTCACCCTGAACCAGATTTGACATGGTCGGCAGAGCTGGGATGACCTTGCAGACTGCGTGTTCCAATTTCATGTCCGGTCAGGAGTCCAAGGCCCCTGCCGTCTCCACATCTGTTCGCTTGAGCAGATCCTGCTGAGGCGGCAGCTTCGTGCAACTTTCAATGGTACACACTGTCGCACAAGATCCTGCAAGTACAGCCATCCACGTCGGCGGCTCACCTCTCTGATGAAGACCTTCCAAGACCGGAAGTGCAGTGCAACACGAGCTCTGGACCACACGGCGGGCGCAATCTTTGTTGCACATGTACCGCGGACCTATGCAAATACAAGTATTTGTATATAAACAGGTGTGTAGAATATAAATATATATATATATATATATATATATAGTACCACGACATAATTCTGCGAGCCCTCACGTCCGAATCCTCCTATCATACTGCTGCTTCTCTTCACAGGCTGGCATTTCTATTCGTGTATACATGATCAGAGCAAGAAGTTCAACAAGAAGAGAGGGAGAAGAGGGAGGTCCTCGGTGGTGATACGTTTGCTTAATTTTATCTTCCTTTTTCTGGTCAAAAAGACAAAAGGAAGAAGAGGAGCAGGTAGAGAGAGAGAGATGCGGCAGGAGACCTCTCGTCTCTGGCATCGCTGATTTTGTTGCGCAGCCTTGTTGTTTTGTCCTGCTATTTATTCTTTGTCGTTTCACTCCAGAAGAGCAAAGCTGAAAGATACAAACTATGAAGCCAGAGGAGCGAATACAGGAAAGAGATGACGAGACAAGAAGGGCAATCAGTGTCGCTCCCCCATGTGACGGTTTCAATCATCGTCTTCCCGTTCTACATTTGTATTATTAACTCTGTATGTGTGTGTTGTAAGCAAGTACGCTAAGCAAATAAACCCTTGAAGGTCCCAGCACAGAATATGTATACATATCTATGTACATGCATACATACATGACATCACATCACATCACATCACATTGCATTGCATTGCATTGCATTGCATTGCATTGCATTGCATTTGCATTTGCATTGCATTTGCATTTGCATGGCATGGCATGGCATTGCATTACATTACATTACATATACAACATACGTACATGCGTATATACGTATATACGTATATACGTGCATGCGTATATACATAAATACATATCTACATATATACATATATACATACATGCATATATGCATATGTACATACAGACATATATACATATGTTCATATATACATGTATACATGTATACATATGTGCGCATGTTGTATATATGTATACATATATACATATATACATGTATACATATATACATATATACATATATACATATATACATATATACAGATATACATGTATACATATATACATGTATACATATATACATATATACATATATACATATATATACATATATACATACATACATAAATACATATATTATACATATATACATATATACATATATACATATATACATAAATACATAAATACATATATACATATATACATATATACATACATGAATATCTGATACACTTGAGGGGCAAGGCCAGTGGAAGGAAAGCTCTGCGGGCTAGGCGCTCCAGTGCAAGATTGGAAGGGCGGAGGTTGCGTTCGATGAATGACTTCTGTTGAGGTTCCGGATTGCGTCCACCCCCCACTGCCAACGCAGATAGAAACGAAAGCCTCGCTACGTGAGCTTTCGTGACTTGTGTATACTTATATATGTATATATATATATGTATGGGGTCTCATCGTCTTGGTTCAAAATATGCTGAGCTCGAGGCTGGGCCATGAAGCGGCAAAAATGTTCGCGAGGCTTCTCGCAAGATGTCAGCAACATCGCCTTCTCTTTGCCCAACTGCTTAGCACGTCACACATGCAAAAGGTCTCCCATGCTACGCATGCTTCTCAGCGCGGCCAACGGCTCTGCAAGACGTGATGCCAGTTAACTGCTTGCCAAGCTTCGTAACTGCTCATCAAGATGCATGTCTTCGTCGCATGCAAGGGTTGCAAGCTGCGTGGCGAATGCAAACTCCCATGCTGCCAGATCGATAGACTCGACCATGGACAGATCAGGGCCTCTCAAGCACGTCAAGCACATGGAAGCTAACGTAACACCATTCAATCAAGCCAAGGACACCGCAAGCGGCTGACATTTGCTGCCAGAATCTGCCAGAACTGGGACCCTGGCGGTAGAGCTGTTGGCGTGAAACCCAAATCTCCTGCAGCGGTCTCGGCGTTGAAGATATCGTGTCGCACTTCCAGGTGAAGTACAGGTCTGCCAGCCTGCACCGTCGCAAGCTCACGGCCAAAGGTGCACCAAAGCAACACACAGAAACACTTGGCCTGCTCTGCTCCTTTCGGCCGGGCACATAAGGCGGCAAATACGGAAGATCTGTTTTCAGGTCCAGCTCGACAACACCCAGCTTGGAAACGACAAGGATCATAAGCTCATCCGTCAGCAAGGCGCGGCCCGCTTGCCATTGCCAGAAAATGGACAACATGTCAGCTTGCTCGCGATGACCGGGATTTTGAAGCCCATCTTGGTTCTGAAGGATCTTGACAACCAGGCTTCTGGCGAAGCCTGCCAGTTGTTCTTCTGCGCCGGAGACCCTTTCAAGGCCTTCCAAAAATGCCGTGAAATCTATCTCCCTCTGTGCTGCCTGTGTCTCACCATCGAACATTGACGGTAGTACGTGCGTGGCCGCACCACTGCTCCCCATCAGAAAGGATACGAGGGACATCATCTGCAATTGCCCTCCAGAATGACGTGTGCGCGCGCATACAGCCTCGCCCACGCCAGGACCCTCTGCGTTTCCTTGAACTGCGCCTGGCTCAGCCCTGAGAGCTCAGACCAGAGCAAATCATGAAGACACTTGGCTGTATCATCTTCTAACTGTTTCCTCCACTGCTCCAGGCCCAGAGAGTCCGGAGAATCCAGAGAGTGCTGAGAGCCCTCACTGCCCGTAAGGTGAGGCCCCCCACTTGCCGAATCCTGCAACGCAGCAAGGGCAGCTTGTCCGTGAGGGCATTCTGCACACAAGGTCAATACTCTCGACAAGCTGACAAGCCGCTGAGTGCGAGCGCGGTGGCTGCCACAGAGCCCTGCCAGATGAAATGCAGCATCCCGATTTGCTGGAACAGCAGCTCGAAGCCAGATGAAGAGAACATTTAGTATCTCACGTGTGGCGATGTTGCCGCAGCTTTTGTGCACCAGAAACAAAGCATAACCATGACAGAGGTCCGTCTCGGTAACGAGACCCCTCATACTGCTCTCACACCTCACCATGTCAGCCACCGCTGATATCACTGCGTGATCATCATACGCTGCGCCTGGTATGCGTCGTCGGGCGGTGAGCAGCATGTCATCCAACTTTCTGTCAAGAAATCGGAAGAGAGGAGACACCAAGCATGTCTGGTATCCCATCTTTATCTCCAGGACCTTGTCCTTAGCTCATGTTTGAAATAACAGGTGAACTGTGGTGCCTCATGTGTTATCAGCTTCTACATGGCCGACATCACAGCGCAACCCAAGACTCTGCGTGCTGGCCTGATCGAGAGCACACTGGTAGGAGCGGAAGCAAAGCCATTGCCACCGTTGCATCTCCACTCACGAGGTCGCGAAGCCCGCCATGCGAACACAAGGCTTTCAGGTAATGTGCCACGTGCTGCTGGAATTCACCATGCAAGTGCAATCTCACAGCGTCGACGAAGGACATCAGCTTGCGGCCTTTGCGGATCTGGCTGGCCAACTGGGTGACCTCGGCGAGCAATTTTGGGCCGCTGAAATTTTCGTGGAATGTGGCAATCAAGTGCTGCCAAATCCTGGGATGTCTCTGTAGAACCAGAAGAACGCCTTCCACTCGCTGCTGAACAGTGGCATCCTTTGCATAAAACGTATCAACCGCCTGTGCCACCTGCGCAGCTTCATTGTCATCGTCTGCAGGTCCCATTTTGCCCAATAGCAAGCCGACGCCACGACCCATCCAGGCCGCTAAGCTGGTCAACAGGCCAGTGGACTCCTTGGACTCCTGCACCGCACAGGTCTCGCGGTGCTCCATGGACGAGTACCTGCCAGGAGCTTGTGCATGTGTCTGAGGTAGATGCACCCTTCTGCAAAAGTCCACCACGTACTTCTGCCTGCTCTCGTCCGGCCGGACAATGTCTAGCTCTTGCGGGCGACCTTCTGAAGGACTGCCACAGATGACTTGTCTGAGAAGGTATTCTTCGTCAAAGGCTGAGGCAGGAGTCAGAGAGTCGATGAAGAAGAAATCCCAGCCGTCAAGAAAGACACAAGGATACAACTTCCCAGAGATCACCTGTTCTGGCGGATAGTGTAGCAGAATCACCCACAGAGTGTCTGCTGAGTCCCTTGCCTTCAAATCTACAAAGGCGCGTAGCCAAGAAACATGCTGGTTCTGATGATGCTCCATGTCGACAACCAGAAGGACATTTTTTTTCGCGCCGTTCATTTTGCGGTCCTGCTTCCCTTGGCTCGCCTTGTACTTCGCTTCCAGAGCCTGCGTTGTGGCCACCTCGCTGGCATCAATGATGCTCAAAGATCCCAGGCTGTGCTCACCGCGCTGCAGCAAGCTGCAAATTTCAGCTGAACTCCGTGTATACAGCACGAGCTTTGGAAGAGGAAGCAGCTTGTTGTTGCGAGCTGTTGTCAAAACACCCATGAGCGAAAAGTGGCTCTGATGAGAGAAGTAAGCGCGACGGTAAAAGTCAGCCTGCCCAAACTTTTCTGCGTGGTGCAGCATCTGCTCAGGCGGCATCAGCTGCAGCAACCTCACAGCCATGACCTGCACCGCCGTGCTGGCATTCAGCTCCAAGCCGTCGCTGCAAAGGCTTGCGAACTCCTGCATGGAGTTCTTGCTGCTACGCAGAGACTCCACCATGGACAGCAACAAGGAGACCAAGGTTTGGTCGACGAGCCCTACAATCGCCTTCTCACCCAAAGTGCCCACCAGCTTCCACACCGTCTCCAAGGCAGATCTCATAGACTTTCGCTGTGCTTCACGCACAAAGCTGACTTGCAAGCGTTCTTGCAAGACTTCTTCCAGCGGCAGCGTGACCACCGAAAAGCGAGACCTCAACGCAGCAGGCTGTTCGAGGAAGTCCTCCTTCTGCATCTGAAGGACCACGAAGAAATTGGGATGAACGCGGCAGTGGTGCACTCGGGCGCCGTGGGCGATGATGATGTACAATGTCTGAAGTCCCTCGGCCGTTTCCGTGACCCGGAAGTTTTGATTGAATAGGTTGTAGAAACTGCAGAGCAGACGCCCAGAGCTGCAGTTGCGCAGCAAGACAGGCCTGCCTGCCTCCATGCAAAGAGTCATCTGAGACACGCATTCTGCGCAACCAAACTCATCTGCATCATGCGCGTAGTCCTGGACATCAATCACTTCGAAGTCATGTGGAAGGATCTTCTCTTGGACCAGAACCCTGCATGCACTGTCATCCTTCATGTCATCCAGAAGCCTCGGATCATACGTCAGGCAATGCATGTGCACAATGCACATTCATACACTATGCAAAGTTCAAAGCTCGAGAAAGATTCCAAGCATGCATGTGCAGTCAAGTAGCATGCAGAACCGTGGAGCCAGGTGTGGGCTGCCTTGCGTCATGCATCGCTGTCGATCTCCATAAATGCAAGCCTTGGCCAAGTCCAGGCAGCCGCGGTATGTCTGCGTGCCGATGGAATTCGAGAACTCGTGCTGGCCACTTCCAATACGTGAAAGCTCATGGCCGATGGCCTGGAAGAAAATGTCCACGACATCCTGGATGCGCACCCCTGGAGCCTGAAAGTTTTCTTCAATGGCCCGACGCACACGTTCAGAACTCAGAAAACCTTTCTTGAGAATACAGTGCCAACGCAGATGCCGCAGCAGTGAGATGTAGTGGCGTTCGAAGAAGACCATGTTGAAGCCAACATCACGCACGATATCATGGAATCCACGTGCCAAGCCACGTAGGATCGACCTCGTTCGTGCAGGCTGCTGCATGCCTTTCAAGGAAGTGCCCAGCACCCCTGTACCCATCTGCTCAAAGTCTTGCAAGGTTTGCTGGTGCCGCACGAAGGTGAGCATCCGATTCATGTTGGCTGCATCCAGCGGGCTGCCAGAAACGATGACCGTTGCCAGTTGCCTCTCATCCAGAACATCATGAAGTGGTTTCATGACCATGCGACTCTCCTGTGGCAGCTGTGCTTCATCGAAGAAAGGCACGCATCGATCTTTGCCACCATGCTGCTGGTACATCTGCTCTCGGCGCGTGGCTCCACTCAGGATATGCTCAATCTCCGTGGCCGTGCTTTCAGGTGAGCACTGATAAATGAACGGATCCACAGTCATGAAGCGTTTGCAGAAGTCTCTTGGAGATTGAACACCCCGCAAGTTCTGCGACAGCACTTCAAAAGCAAGGGTTTTTCCTCTTCCAGGAGAGCCGAGAATGCAGCTTGCAAGCCTGGTTTCCGTAGTGATCAGCATGGCAAACAAGTTCTCTTTGAGATCCCGATTCAGGGCGACACCTTCTGGCAGCTTGAAGTGTTGCTCCGTGATGTAGGTGTCCACCCCAGCATTTACCTGCCATTGGCTTACTAACAAAAAGACCGTGGACGGCCCAGGTCCGATCTCGTGGGGGGTGACATGACACGTCGTCCCGCCTCATCTTCAAAGTTCAGGCCGATGTCACGCACCATCTCCGAAATTCGTTGCTTCAACTCGTTTCCTCTCAGGTTCAGCGAAGTTCAACGATGTGAGATAATCTATACTTGATACTGTCCTTCCCTCCCGCACCTTGCCCTGCTGCTACAAACCCAACGATATCGCAGCTCCACCATCCAGCTTGCAAAGCACCTCGCAAACCCTGCCATGCCGTACTTCCATACTTGTCGCTCCCTGGCAAGCAGCTTGCATCCCAAAAGCAGCACCCTTAGAGCCCTGAGACAGCTCCCTTGTCCGTTGCAACAAAAAGGTCCTGTGACTCCGTCATCGCCCGATCCATAGATGCCCACATCAGATAGCCGGAAATGGTAGACCACAGCAACAGCCAGCAGAATACACCGCATCACCTTGACGTTGGCCCTCTCGTGTCCGGGCCAATGCTTCTGAAAGTAGTCAAGGACGACCAGACAGCGATGAATATCACGCTGGCTAACGGAGCTCTGGCCCACATTGCTCATGAACAGCTCCTGGCATTTGCAGATCAGGCTTGCAAACCTGGCCTCCAAGGCATCATCCAGGAAAGACTCCCCCTTGAACTGGAGCTTCATCTTCAGCTGGACGAACTCTTGAAGCTCTTGGTGCGCAAGCGGTGGATATGTCCATCGAAGTGCCATCATGGACATGGGCAGTTTGTGCACAAAGTATTCCTCCCGGTGAGACAGGTGACACTCGGTCTGGCAACCTGCAGCGTCGGCTTGCTCTGAGGGCCTGTATGGATTGATACAGCCCACGAAAAACACATTGTCTGGCAAGTGCTCTCCGTTCAGGGTGTGATCAACCATGATGTCTTTGAGAATACCCAGGATGGAAGACGTGTTCAGTTCATCGAAGAGGACAACCTGTTTCACCTTTGGCGCCCTCTTTGCCAAGTCTACAATGGGATTGAGGAAGTCCTCAACTGCACGCAACTTCAGATCTGGGTGAAGCAGGAGCCTGTGGAACACCTCCGCAACGGGACACTGGAGGAAGTGGCCTCACAAGCAGAGCAACGTGTTGAATGACCATCTGGGGCTGTAGCACACTGCTGTACCACAGAGGAGGGGCTGATTCTGATAGGACTGACGACGGACTTACACTTGGATCTTCAGTGCCACAGGTGTCGCCCAAACCTTTCTGGATGACACTGGGTATGAGAAAGCTACTAACTCAACCTCCACTGCAACAACATACGATGGGTGCAAGGCAAACCTGATGTATCAGTGAACACAGTCTAGCTGCTAGAGCTGGATGTGCTCATCAACCGCAATCCATCCAATGCAATCCACCCATAAAAGGCTTGGCTGGTAGTCATGGACATAGCATAACACAGACGAGTCACGAAGGAGCTCTCTGGCGTTGTCGGGAGTGGGGGACACTTCCTCCAAGTACTCGCGCAACTTGGGGGTGGCCTCTTCAGTTCTGACAGCAAACTGCATCTGGTTCTTCAGAACAACAGAGGGTTGCATTTAGCGTACCCGCTCAAAGAAATCTTATTCTGGAGAAGCATCTGGACAAGTTGAAAAGAGTTCCCATGCCCGCCTCGAGCAAGGGACATTCAACAATCCATTCTCCGACTTTAAGGACATGTCTGGCATCAATGGGTCAGCCTCCGCATGACATGTGATACGTTCAACATCGCAGGTGCTTAGGGCAACAGATCGGCCTGATTCAGTTGGCCGGCCATGTCCTGCACGGGCTTGGCAGCAGACGACAGCAGGCATTGCCAGGTCTGGATAAGCCATTTGAACAGTGGCATGGCGTAGTGGAAAGGGCGCAAGGTGCGTAAGGATAGATGACGGCAGCTGAATGAAAAACCGAGGAAAACCTGCAACAACTAGCCCTGCAATTGGAAGTAGTAGTATATGATGTTGATGCAAACAGTTTAAGCGCTTGTTGTACAGAAAATTGACAGCAACCCACGTCAAGTGTTTAGACGTCCTCCTGAATCTGCACATACAGCTCAATCAAATCGTGGTCTGGCCACGCAAGTTCCAGGAGCCTTGAGCGCTTTGGTTTTCGGGCTCTACTGCAGGAACTTGTCCTAACAAAATGCATCAAACCGGCAATATCGACTGAGACATGCAGCTAAGAAATGCTGCATTGACATCTGCCCTGCCTTCTGTCAAGATCCTTCCTCTTCAAGGGGTCCGCCAGTCTTGGTAAAACACTCTGCCGCAGCCACGTCTTGACTCGCCAGGTAGTGCGCGGTGCATCTTCAAGGTCGGAGTCCTGAGCATTGTCCGTTAAGGAGGTGGAGCAGGGAATGTTTGGGTCAGTCTATCTTCACTGTCAGCTTCGGGATTGTCCGACAACACAACGGTCGATGCACTATTCAAAGGAGGCTCTCGCTTCAAGAAGCGGCAGTTCACCAAATGTGCCTCAGCTTGGCAAGCCGCAAGCCGTTAATGCACTAGCACAAGATGTTAATCAGTTAATCTTGACATCCTTTCGACGTAAGTCCGCTGCGTACACTTTGATCGGGAACGTTTTGCCCACGCCCGTTAAGCCTTCAATGATCACTGGCATCCCAGCAAGGCGACGCTCATGAATGCACAGCAGGCGGAAGGTGAAGTCCTCTCGCAAGGCTTTTGCGCTCAGTTCGAAAGATTTGGAAGAGTAGCATGACACTCCATACACACACACACACACACCGAACCAACAAGCAGAACAGCAACGTGCATCTTCACCACAGCAGTAGAATGTCCTCCACAAGGACGAATCCCAGTTCTTCGCAGGTTGCCTTCACTTCCGGCTCTGTGAACCCCAACACCCAGGCAATCATTGCAGCGCCGTTGTCCTGAGTGGCCGTGCAACTCGGTTGACACGAATGCTCACGTACTTCCAAGGACTTGAGAACCACGGGTACGTGTGAAGACCTCCGAATAACTGCTTGAAGTTATCTACATCAAGCATGCAGCAGAGCATCGCATTGGTTGCGATCAGTACCACGCAAATACTGGCGCCCATCTCTGACGAACTTTGCGAGGTCGGGAGGTATGTTCTGCCCCTTCTCGAAGAGTTGCAACGCAAAGCCGTTGTCATAGACAAGCATTGGAGCTGGAGCATGGGACGCACTGCATTCTAGGCCTGTCGCTGTGAGCATGGCAGCCTGTTTGAGAGCTTGGTCAAAGACCGCGCTACCCAATCCTGGCTCCGTGTTGTAAATGTAGAACTCGCTTGTGAAGAATTGGAAGAGCCGGCCCAAGTAACTCACAAAGCTCCTGACACTCCGTTTGTCTGGCGTCTGGTCAAGGCATTTGGCGAACGCATCGTAGATCAAGCGGCCTTACATATTTCAACTCAACACAACAATAGGTTGAAGTTGAGAGGCAACATGGAGGGGCCCCGCATGTTCAACCACGATGACAGGTGGATCAAATCCAAGCAGCGGCAGTCGGCGTCGCTCGGCACCGTCGAATGGCTCACGGGAGCAACGCCATTGCTGACCTTGTTGATTGCTCGCCTTCCTGGGCAAACTGCTTGCAAGCCAGCCTGCAGGGATTCATAACGGACTCACATCTTCTACAAACGAACGGTTTTGACAGGTTTTGTTGAATGCCCGCCACACACCAAACCTCATGTATGTCTTGCTAGCCTCAGTCAGTTAACCTGCCAGGTCGATCAATCAAATGTAAACACCTCGGGTGTCCGGCTGCCTGCAGGTACTTGGCCACAAAGCGCTCGGCATCCCCAATCTGCAATTCGTGGGAGGTGTCAGTGACAAGAGCCACTGTTGCATTGCAGACTTTGAGAACCGGGAAGAAATGACGCATTGAAGTCAATGGTGTCCAAGGCCCGTCCGGGCAAGTCTGCTCCTCTCCTTGCTCCAAGTAAGGTATCTCAACACACCATGTCAGGGACTTTTCCGGGCCAGCTGCAAAGACAGACCCATTTGTTGAGAGCCGCCAGGTTCTACAGATCAGCAAGTCAAAGAGCAAGCGGTTCACCTCCAGCTTTTCTGCATCCTCTGCGATTTTGAGCCCAACCCCTCCCCCTTGCGTTGCCAGACTGTTCAAAGTCATCTGTGCCCGCTTTTCATCCCAATGTGCTGTCATGCTCAGAATCGGAGCGTCGCAGCCAAGCGTGCTCCTCAGCACCTCAGTCTTTCCAGCACCGGGGAGTCCACACACCACCGTGACTTGGTCATGTTGTCTAGGAAAGCTGGCACACTCCTCGTCGTCCAGCTGATCCAACCGCATCTCGGAGACGAAATCGGGCTGTGGCGGAGTATGGACACCAACATACGTATAGAATATGCGCGCATGCCCGCCCTCCATACCGTGCAACTTGCCTTGCGTTTCCTGAACTTTCTTTTGCATGGATGGCGGCAAAAAGTTCACCCCGAGAACGACGAAAGTACCGCCTGGTAACATCTGCACCCGTTGCAGAAAATCCTCCAGAAGACTGAGCGGCAGTTTCTCATGGCATCTCAGGATACATCTGTCTGAGAGAAGTTCAGGATCCTTTCTGAATGCATGGGCCAGAACGCGAAGCTCTGACTTCCATTTCTCTTGGAAACTGCCTGCTGGCACATGGACGACGAATTGGTGGTGGCCTTTACCTTGCAGCAGGCGCTTCGACGCCTGGATGCCCAGCTTGGTGAGGGACTTGCACAGGGCTTTCATGGCCGATTCCACACTCTCTTGACCAGAAGCTGCAGCACTGGAGCTTTGCAGCAACCTTTGCGTTAGATCGGCTGGGACCACGCCCAGGCCTCTCAAGCTGTAGAGGAAGCTTCCAAGGCATTGAGCTGCCAGCCGGTCCTCCATCTGCTTCTTGGAAGCCTCCTCGGCTGGCCAGTCAACCTTACCGCACAGAGACTGTATGAGTCTCACTCTGTGCATGTGGCCAGGCGTGGTCAAGACGATCAGAAAGAAGATTTCCCGGCTGTCGAACAAAGAGAGCAGAGCAGAATGAGACCGACAGCTCTGCAACAATGAGCTCCATGTCTGCTGGCGTAGGGTCAGTCCTTGAGTTTCGCTGGCGAGATGCTCTGCCGAAAATCTGAGGGGGAAGGAGAGCGACCTGAGTTGATACTCGGGGTGTCCACTCCCCTCCAGGTCTTGCAAGCACTGCAGGATGTTGAACACCTTTCAGGAAACTCCAGGGGCAAATCATTATGAAATCTACGAAACCCTGCCCCTTCGCACCTTTGTTCGAAACGCGCCTGCTTCAGCTTCTCAGTGCAAGTTCTGGCTGCCCCTGTGCAAGTTGCAGTCGCGGCATCAGAATCAGCAAGAGACTGGTCTCGGCCTGGGCTTTGCAAGACGATGAGGCATGCTGAGGCCGGAATAGGTCCTGTTGATGCAGGAAAGTTGCTGTGGAAGGCAAGCTGTCGTAGAAGGTCACCTCAGCACTTGCTGCATAGATGACAGGCTCTATGCCGCGGCTGCTTTGCTGAAGAAGGCCAAATGGCAAGAACTTAAGGTTCCACGAGTGACGAAGTCCGGAACAAAAACTCCAATCCAGCCACGTTGCGAGCTTCTGCTTCACTCATAGTATCTTTCTTTGATCGGTCGTGCGCCGATCTATCTCCATCAAGGTGGTACTGGATGGCAGCCGACAAGGCCTCCCCTTCCAAGGCTCTGAAATCAACTGTTAGCCTCGGCCCGACGCCCTGCCTAATTGTCAAACGCTTGTGGATACACTCTGCACTGTGGGCTCTGGATTTGTGCAGCTTAGACACACCCCAGTCTCGTTCAGTGCCCGGGACGTGGCTACTGCATTCTCCCATACATTGCCTGACTCAAAACTCTCTGTAGGAATCTCCCAACGACCGTTCATCTACATCCACATTGCTCTATCAATTCTGCCTTGTGCCCGCGAGAACCATCGGCGCACATGGCCAAGCTGCTCATTAACACGGGCAATGAGGTCCAAATGGCGCGGGCGCACATCACGCAAGCCCACAACAAGATGCTTCACAAAGTCTTGAAGCGAATTGCATTTCGTCAGAAATGGTCCGACTAGTCTGCAAACTTCCTGACCAGCACAGCATGTGAGAACACCAAAAAACGATCAGTGTCTACAGGCAGACTTGGCACAAGAACACAAGAACTCCGAAAAGGCTTGCTCATCTCAAGCCCCGGCACAATCACCTCATTGAGCAGCATCGTCTCCACACTTTGTCCACGCAATTGTACCGTCAGGCTGTTCTTGACTTGCTCGAAGTGTTGCTGGCCACTGACTGATGAATACTTGATATCATTGAAGAAATCCACCACGCAGGAACCTTAACGCATTAGGGCAAAGAGCTTAATCTCACATTCTGCTTTGTGCCACTCTGACATGGCAGCTTGGGCAGGGGCATTCGCGGAACTTTGCAATGAGGCCAAAGTGGATGTCCTGGAGAGAGCCCTCGGCACACTTGAAAAGGCGCGCCAGCATCTCATACTCTTGGGGTGCTTCCTTCAGAGCACGGTTCGGCCGATGCTGGGCTTGCCTCTCAATGTAGCGAATGTCTGCATCGTCTGCTGGCACCAGACCGAAGCTGATGGCCACATCAGCCACGACGTGAGCAGACACCGCATACTGAACAAGTTCCAAGGCCTGCTGAATTGTTGCTGGCAGTTCTGTGGTTGTGGTTGCATATCCTGGATAGGATGTGATTTTGGCAAGCTCATCCAGGATGCTGACCTGCCGCGTCATGTCGATGAAGACTTTTGCATCCTGAAGTCGAATCTCATTCGCCAAAAGGGCCTTGATTTGGCGATCCGCTTCGGATATCCAAAGTTCTGCATCAGCCATGTCGTTCCCTGGCTGATCTCTCGCCTGCACGCCAACTGCAGCATTGAAGAACAGCGACTCATTGTCCACAAAGTGCTCCAGCAGGGTCAGGCGGCTACCCAGTGGCTGCAACTCCTGTCGCACGAGGCGCAGGTGGCTCTGCAGCTCCCGAAGTGTCAAATGAGACCCCTGCAGGTTGATTTCCTGCGCAAGCTCGGCACACCCATAAATGTCGTGTTCTGCAAGCCAGTGGAGCACCTTGTGCAAATGCACTAATTCTGACTGCTTGCCATCGAACTCAGACCGATCAAAGATATCAGTCGCGGCCTGCCAGCCCTCCGAATCCCGCAGCACAGCTTGAACTCGCACCCACATCCTCTGGGAGCGAGCCAATTGCTGGGCTCTTTCTGCTGTTATGTCTCCAGGATCTTGGGCCAGCACACGCTTGGCGCACTGGCAAAACTGCATAAGGGGCTGCCACATCTCTGCCCAAAAAGGCTCGCTCACTCGATCACAATTTGTATCCAGCAGCTGGTTGTGGAAGCAGAGCACTGCTCGCAAAGAATCGAATGTGTCGGGAAAGGACTCTATGTCTACGGAACTCTCCAGATCAAAGTGCGTGAGGACGGGTGCCAGACACCGGACCAAGATCAGGAGCATAAAAGCACCTGAGGTTGACGAGCAGAAACGCTGGAACTGCTCCTCTGTTCGAATCACATGTGGGCTAAAATGAAAGCTGCTTGAACCACCCTTCAGCTAAGCGGCTCTTGCATTGGCCGTGACCAGATCTCTTAATTTCTTGATCGAAATATTTCAGCAGCTGCTCTGCAATTTCATAGGCATGCACACCATGCTCGACACACAGCATTGGATAGGTGCTTCGCAACGAAGCCATTGCGACCGCATGCACGTACCATGCCCCGAAGGAGTTGGCCCACTCTGCGGAGATGGACTCCTTTGCCGCATGTGTGTACACAGCGTGTACATCTAGCAACAACACACATTTAGTGTCGGCAGACTCCTGCACAGCCAGCACGCGGCTGAAGCCCATCATTTGACTGAGCGGAGGAACGACCCGATGCAGGAGCTCACGAAAACAATCTTCCTGTGCCTCCGTCAGCGCCTGCTCCTAAAAACGCAAGAGAAGCAATGAGTCGCAGCGCATGAAACATCCAACTCCTCACAGCACCCGTAAGCATAGCGCTCCTTCGTGAGCATCAACCTTGTCGATGCAAGTGGCAGCTGGAGGAGCGCCGTCAAGTACTCAGCTCCATCAGGCCGTCCGCGGCTCCAAAGAGCCTGCTGAGCAGAACACAGGACCTTCACGGCCCACATAGGTCCTCATGGTTGGCAAATGCACGGACAAAAGTTTCAATACTGGATGCTCTTCTCAAACAGCAGTCCTGGATCCTCAAAATCTCCCCAGTTGGCATCCAGCACAGCACCCACCAATGGGACAAGGTCACACCAGCCGCAGATGTTTGCAAACTTGATACAGCCGATGTTCGACAGCAGCCACACGGAGATCCAATGATCCGAATGGGCTAGCACAAAGTCACACATCGAAGCTATGTCCACAGGAATTTCACCCATCCCCGAAGCGAAGAGCTGATCAAGGGCCGATGTGATCTTGTCTGAGTGACCAACTGGCACGAAGAGGCCCAGAAGCTTCACGAGATCCCTGGCAAAGTGCTTGTGGAAGATAATGGACATCCATTGGGATAATCCTTTTGCTGGCACTTCAGCCGAGAGGGAGAGCACGTCACGGAAGCTGGCAGGCCAATCGTCTTCCTCTCTTTCTTGCCGAACGTAGGCGTGATGCGCAAGCCTGCCAATCATGTCGCCGGCGTCCATGGCAAAGAGCCGGGCAAGCTGCACAGAGTCCCGAAGGCTGTAGCTCCCAAGCAAAGACTGCAAAGTGTCCGGCTTGTGGTCAAGTGGCGGCAAGCTAACCTTATGCTCTCGCAGTGCCTCAAGAGATCCGCATGGAGCCCTGAGCAACACGTCACGGCCGTAGTCCAGGAAATCTTTCCAGCCAAATCTCTGATCTGGAATGACAAGACTGACCTGATAAAGCACAGCGAACACGGTTGCTGCCTGCCCAGCGATGGCATTGAGCCTGGCTTCTGGAGATTGTCCGAACATCATATCGAAAACCTTCACCATAAAATGCCGTTCAGCCTCGAACTTGCAGTCTGCTTCAGCAACGGTACTGTAACACACAGTAAAAGAAAACTTCCTTCCGTGATTGGAACAGCATTGCATGAAAAGAGCCGCATGATGCATGCGGATCATGAAGGATGCCAAGCAACGCTGGCAGCCACCATATTGAGCGGACCCTCGAAAAGGTTGTGCACGACGCTTCCTGGCAGAGCAGCGGAGGGGAACAGCCGAACAAGAACATGACAAACGTATCAAACCTGGCCACACTCGTGTCACAGGCCGACCCTGCACAAGCCCATGATGCTCACAATGGATTCCAAAGCAGCCCAGTGTCGTCTGAAAAGCAAAAGCTTCGCATCGTGCTTTGAGACATCTGCAACATCAGCTTTGGTACCCAGACGAGTCCACGCAATTGCGATTGCCCGCTTTATCGATGACACTCCGTTTGCATTCTGTAGAAATCCGAGCCAATACTCCATCATCTTGCAGAGGAAGTGCAACCAAAACACGGGAGAAAGCTGGTCGTCACAACGGCAGTGAAAGTGTTCCCAGAATGCATCGCACATCCCAACCACATTCGCTTCGAAGTTGTTGCTGTGAGGATTGGCCGCATTATACGCATCAAACTCAACCAGAAACTCAAACAGCTCCAGAGGTCCGGGCAATCCTTCTGCCAAAAGCTGCCGGAAGTCGTGCACCCAATCACGAGTCTGAACCTCAGCAACCGCAGCTCGTAGTGTCGGACAAAGGGTCAGTGCACATCGCACATCTCAGCCAACATGCTCAGCTGCCCACTTTTCCTGTCCTCAGAACAAGTACCTGATTTGGAGCACTGCTCCTGGCAAAAGGCGTCGGTGCACTAATGAGTCAATACCGACTCAATCTGAGACATGTGAGCAGTAATGCTTCGGAAACGTGGCTAGTGAGTGCCATCATATGCCATTCGGAAATCTAAACGTTCGATTTGAACTCAACATGCACAATATTCAGAAAACTATTTGTGGCCCAAATCTTCAAGATGGGATTCTGCTTGCGGCACATACAGTTTCATTTGCCGAAAGTGCTTTTCAAAGTTGTCCATTGGGTTCGGTCTTGCCAACAGCCAAAGCATCGACTCATTCCGAATGTCCATCACCTGACATGTGTAGTCATAACTGTCACAACTGGGCGATCATGTCGCTCCCCGTCCTGGACTCTCCTTGCATGATGGTTGGAAAGCACGTGTTGTCGCTGCAGGCATAACTGCATGTGCCTGCAGAATTCCACGATTGAGCAACTGCAAGCACCTCATTGACATTTCCCGGACTTGTTCACACATTGCATGACACTGTCATGACTCGAAAAGTTCCAGCCTGCAGTTCCAGCGTTTGCGGTGCGCTTTTGGCCCGCGTGCGCAGGAACAATCGACCTTCGATTAAGGCCTTGCAAAACACAATGCCAAGATCTTCCAAAGTTGCCGCATAAAGCTGTCATGGTTGCCAGGCCTCGTCTGAGGAAGTTCGGCTGAATCAGGCGACGTGTCCGCGGCGGAGGCGGAGGCGGAGGGGGACGCTGAAGCGAAGAAGGCAAGGCGCCTTCCACCCCCCTCTCACTGTCACCAGTCATGGCAAGCACACTGCTGCAAAGTTTGGTTTGGCAATTATGAAACGGCTGCAGCGCGAGGAGTGGGCACGCCACGCTATACGCACTTTACACTCAGATGAAACCATCGCCCAAGTCAAATCAAAGCTTTTTTTATGCAGCACCAAACTTTCCTATGTGCAGGCACGGTGAGCTAAATTTCTGCGTTTAGAAACAACGCAAACCTACGCAGTCACTGACAACAATGCCCCGAAACCAAGCAAGAGGGTCCCAAACCATGTTGTGCAAACTTGCCACACACACACACACACCGTACGCGATATGAGCTAGGTCTATTCACACTCGTGATTCTTAACGCGTCCGTGTGGGGAAAAAAAGGCCATTCTCGAGCTCGATGCTTCCCAGTCATCGTCTCTCTTGTCTAGGAGTGAAGTTGCTTAGCCCTCTTCTGAACGATTCTGTCGATCGGTTGCTCCACGTCAACAATGTTTGTCTCCAAAGCTTCAATCTGTATCAATCCATCTGATGATGTCAATCAACTGAAGCTGACTGAATCCTTGATCTACGAAATAGCTGAAGTCTGGACGACACGATGCGACGGAATCTTCCTGATCGCCTTGGTAGCGTCACGGCAAGCGCCGCATGCATTGGCGGACATAGACCAAAGGTCTTTCCCAATGGGGGGCAGCGGGCAGGCTGCTGCGAGAACAGATGCAAAGAAAGGCTGAACTCTGTGTGGGGACAACTGTATCAAAGTGATTGGCAAATTCGGCCGCCAGCCAGGACTTTTCCTGTGAGAGGCTACACGGCTACACTGACGACGATTTTACAAAATGGGAACAAGAACTGTCGCTTTTGCTTTTGCTTTTTGCTTTTGCTTTGACAGGTATGAGGGGTCAGATCGTATTGATCACCCCTCTGTGAGGCTCACATACCGGGAAAACAATGCGTGTGCCCCGTTCCCGAGAGAACCAAGCAAGCACAAGTGAGAGGACTATAACTATCTCAGTGACAATGAGACCGAGGTAATCGGGAAAGCTATGTCAAAAGGACCGTAGTACACACAGGGCAACTGTGCAACTCAGTAAAAAACCACCATCGTCCACACAGCCAGAGAAGCTTGGACATGTAAGCCAGCGTTCCAAAAATATTTATAAGTTGATCAGGTCACGACTGATGCCAGAGTAGTGAACTGAACCATGTACGCAACACCATGCTAGCCACCAGGCAACTTAAGAATGCCAACATCCAAGATCGTGCGTCATCAATCAAGCACCAGCGAAGAGGGGGAGGCAGCGAATGGCGCGATACCCACGTTGGATAGAATACATCTCTCCCGATCCGTCAGATGCAATCAGAACCAGTCGGTCACCCTCAGCCCAGGGCATTGTGGCATGAAGACGCGAAGTGTCCAAGCCGACTGTCGCGCACAACACGCAGTCCCCTGGATCAGCGGGAGGGGAAGTTATGGGCAGGCCACAGCAATCGTGCCTCCCTTGAGGGAGGGGAAGTTATGGTGCTGCAGCAGCAGCAGCAGCAGCAGCAGTAGCAGTAGCAGTAGCAGTGGCAGTAGCAATAGCAGTAGCAATAGCAGTAGCAGTAGCAGTAGCAGTAGCAGTAGTAGTAGTAGTAGTAGTAGTAGTAGTAGTAGTAGTAGTAGTAGTAGTAGTAGTAGTAGTAGTAGTAGTAGTAGTAGTAGTAGTAGTAGTAGTAGTAGTAGTAGTAGTAGTAGTAGTAGTAGTAGTAGTAGTAGTAGTAGTAGTAGTAGTAGTAGTAGTAGTAGTAGTAGTAGTAGTAGTAGTAGTAGTAGTAGTAGTAGTAGTAGTAGTAGTAGTAGTAGTAGTAGTAGTAGTAGTAGTAGTTAGTAGTAGTAGTAGTAGTAGTAGTAGTAGTAGTAGTAGTAGTAGTAGTAGTAGTAGTAGTAGTAGTAGTAGTAGTAGTAGTAGTAGTAGTAGTAGTAGTAGTAGTAGTAGTAGTAGTAGTAGTATTATCGGAAGCTTATCCTAATTGCATAACTGCCGGAACGCAAGCACCTTTTCTTTTGGGAGATGACGGTGGGGATCAGTTCAGGCTGCCGTTGCAGCTTGATGCACTGGGAGCCAGAACTTCTCCGGCGTGAGGTAACGTACCCCCCCCAGAGATCAAACACTACACCAGGATAGACGCTTCTTTGAAGCGAAACATCACTACGTGAACTTTTACGTAGGCTAGTACGACTAGCACCAAAGGGAGTGGTGGGTGGGACAGAAAAACCAGGAAGCTACGCTTCGAGCTTCAAGCGACTGCATGGGCGAACGTTTCCCTCGTCTCCCGACTTAACAACTTGTTAGGCAAACGTTGCCCGCATTCGTTTAAGCTAACGATAAAGCACAATCACGCACGCGTGAAGGAAGCTTATCGGAAGCTTATCCTAATTGCATAACTGCCGGAACGCAAGCACCTTTTCTTTTGGGAGATGACGGTGGGGATCAGTTCAGGCTGCCGTTGCAGCTTGATGCACTGGGAGCCAGAACTTCTCCGGCGTGAGGTAACGTACCCCATCTTATAAAGCCTCGAACGCCAAGGAAACCCCACCTTAGACAGCTCCGGAGAGGCCCAACGCGCTGCGTATTGCCCCGCACGGCAAGGGGATCCTACGACCCCGAAGACGGAGGATCGTGTCGAAGACACCGCGACTTGGCCCGTCTTTTTTTTTTTTCATTCATTCATTCGCATCAACTGTGGCAGTTGTCATGCGGGCGAGTGTGAGCTAGCCACCCCTCTCTGTTGGAGGGTTCGCCGGTGTGAGGCAGATAAACCCTGCTGTGCCCCGTGGAGCCCGACAGCAAAGTTGTACAATCCTAGAAAGATAAATACTGCCTTTGGCAGCCGCAAAGCTGTGCTCCTCAGAGCCCGACAGCTGAGGTGTCACAGCTGGGAACTAACAAGTGAAGCTAACAATCAAAAAACTGTACAGGAGACATCATGAGGGCCAGCTTGTCTACAGTCTATGTCTACTCCTTGTCAGAGTGTCGACTCACAAGGCGAGGAGACCTCAGGCCTTGTTGTACTGAGTGTAGAGAGTTAGCCTCTCATGTTTGAGAGCTTGAGAATCATGAATGTTCTGTGTACACCAGTGGGGAGTGGAGGCCACTATCCCAAGTAGAGTCACACATGGCTATTGATGCGGTATGCAAGCAAGTAGCAGTTTGTAAGAATGGCCTGTCGTGTGGCATCCGTCCCTGGCGTGGCGGCCTGGCCGTCGTCATGCACGAGGTGGCAGGACCAAATATCCTCAGTGTCACCAGGAAAGTAGAATGCCTGATAGTGCCCGGCTGTTACCACCTTGCCTATATGCATGACCCCTCCGCATAGCTTGTACGGGGTGTTGACAACGTCACCGGCATGTCCAGTGAAGGTGGGAACAGTGAGATGCTTGTGCATTTCAATCCTCTGCCGCGTTTTCCTAATGCCTCCGGCTGATTGGACAAATCGTCCGATCTGGAGGATGAGAAGTTCGGGGGGTCTAGTTAAGGCATGTGGCGGGTCTTGTGTATGCCAAGCTGTTACAGCATCCTGTATACTGAAGGGGTGTTGGACCACCAATCTTATGTGTGGACAGTTGAACTGCTCATCCAGGATTTCATATACCCCTGCTTGTGGGCGTCTAGCTTCCCATCCCCCCTGGAGTGCCACGCAGTCCGTGCGGTTGCAAAGGTGCTGCAGAAACTCAGCCGCGTCATGCTGTCGCGTGGGCTTCTGCCATCCTGGCCATATGAAGTTCCATGCCGGGTGTCTGGCAATATTCAGGTGCTGGTTGGATCTTGAGGCCTGTACGATGGCCCCATTGACTTCGCCCAGACCTGATATAAAAGCATCATGGGACCGAGCATAGTGCAGCATGTGAATCACTGCGTTGGCGTAGCAAAGGTTATGTGGATTAGTTAGTGCGAGTGATCTAGCATGAGGCTCATTGGTTATACGGTCGCGGGTGCGCCATGCCAATAAAGAGCCCTCCACTTTTGTCCCCGCGCCCGCAGTCCCATGTTTCCCCCTTGACGGGATGCCGACTTGACCCTGTTTTGGTGTGCTCTTCACTGGTTGTTCAGTGGTCGCACTCACCGAATGCCCCAAAGCCTCATCCATGCTGCCTTTGTCCCTGTTCTTAGTGCAAGCCGGATCATTCAGAGTGCTACGGGGTTTTTTCGCTGACATGGCATG